ACTTGAAATAAAATTGTATTGTGCTGACTATTGCTTGGGGTAAAAATATAGCTTTATTGGACAATCAAAATGTGTATGCAAAATATTTTGTTATACTTGAATTTGCCTTGTAGTTTTACGAATAACTCACATTCTCCAAAAGGATTTGGGCAGGATGCTCCATGTATATGTAGAAAAGACTGCACATATGTACTATTCATTGCTGCAAACATGTTTAAGTGTTGCTTTGTATCCACCATATTTATTCATGGTTCATGATGAACCATGAAGCCACAACTGCTCCAACAGAGCTTAAACATACTGCCTTTCCAGGACATACCAAGGCTAGATCTCCTTCAGACTAACAAATTCAAATTCCTGCTCTGTACCTACTGTTGCATATCCCTCATTTTTGAAACTGATTTTGTAGTTATGCCCCATACTCATCATTCCTCCTTAGAGGTCTACTTCAGTGAACTATACTAACCTTCTCTTATTTCTCCCCCCTTGTAAGTAGATTCACAGAGAATAGACACAAAGGGTCAAAGAGAGATGAATTATCCACTCTGCTAGGCAATGTGTGCGTGTGTGCTAAGTCACTTCAGTCGTGTCCAACTCTGTGCAACCCTGTGGACTGTAGCCCACCAGGCTCCTCTGTCCATGGCATTCTCCAGGCAAGAGTAGTGGAGCGGGTTGCCATTCCCTTCTCCAGGGAATCTTCCCGACCCAGGGATCAAACCCGCGTCTCCTGCAGCTCCTTCATTGCAGGCGGATTCTTTACTGCTGAGCCTCCTGGGAAGCCCCCATAGTGGCAGAGTAACCCCCAATGTACAAGGCTTCCTTGTATGAAGTGTGATGTTTAGGCCTGACGCCCAAAATATAACATCATGTTCCTTCCGCCAGCTTTGAAGACAACTTGGCTTGGGAGGGGCACCTCACTAACCCACTTAGTCTCAGACAGTGGACACTCCCTCCCCAACCTGGGGCTTATAGAAGGCTGCTTATACCAGGCCTGAACAAAGGCAAGTGCAAAAAGATAGGGAAAAGATTGTGCCACATATAAACAGTGATCTTCAAACTAACAAAAGGTAGACAAGGGCCTCTGACAGTTAGGATCTGATCTATCTCACCAATCACACCAATCACTCCTCACCTGAACTCAGGACACTATGTCTGTCAGGGAGAAAATCTATAAATGAACAATCAGCCTCTCCCTTCTTAGCCAAGGCAACAAAAGTCCTCTCTTTGGAAGCCTGAAGAATAAGGAAATAAGGACCCCTGCTGTAACACCCTCTACCATTTCCCCAGTCATTCTTGATCATAAATCTAAACTATACCCTTTTTTTTCACTTCCTGGCCATCCCCTATATTTTATCAGTCACCAAGTCCTAAAGTTTTATCTCCTAGATATTTCTCCATACATCCTTTTCTCTCATTCTCTCCCACATGATTCCTACATCGTGCCCTCATCATCCTTTGCCAGCACTACAGTAACAATCCCCTAATTCTTCTTTCCGATTTAAGTCTGGTTCTGTCTTTAATCTAATCTCCACTCTTCAGCCAGAGTGATCATTCTGAAACTCAGTTCTGATCATGTCACCCTCTACCAGCTTTCCATTAACTAAAGGGTAAAAACCAAGCTCCTTAAATGAGCTACAAAAGCTCTTCATAGCCTACTACCTTTCCAAAATTACTTGCCCCATTTTCACTGTCCCACACTCATCCTACTAATAGTAAAACTGGTATGGCTTCTGATAGTCAGCATGTAGTTATAAATCTCCATCCTTTGTTCATGAGACTTCCTCTGCCTGAAATGCCCTTGACTTCATGTCTCATTAGGTTAACTCTGATTGAATATTCTGTTTAAGGTATTTCTCCTCCAGCAAGGCTTCCCTGACCTCAATCCTTGCTCCCTGTCCTCATCCCTCAGGCTGGGAAAATTATTCTACACTCACTCTGTGAATGCCTCTGGCACTGAGTTCACTACCCTATGTTGATTTTTTTTCATGTTGGTCTTCCTATTGGGTAGGGGCCACATGCCGAGTAACTACAGATTACTAGCACTCAAAATAAGTTTGTATTTTCTATTCCTTCAAATCATTCATTCATCCTTTAACTTATCCATTAATTCAATTATCACTTACTGATGAATTTCATGAGGATGTCCCATCTCACTCACCCAATTTCATTTTGCTGAGTAATATCCTGATTTCCCAGATGTGTTTAGCCTGCGTGGAAACCAATCATTTTCCCTCTTCTCTACATATTCCAAAGCATGTGAAGAACATTTGTTAACTATTTCCAAATTGTGATTTGTTTTTAAATTACCCACTTGAATCATTTTTATATGCTTCTTGTTCTAGTGACAGAACTGACTGATTACTCTGCGTCTTTTTATGGGTATAGACTGCCATAAGTAATGCAGTGTAACAGCCTACTATTCTGTATCTGAGACTGTGCTCCCTCCTTTCTGGCTTCCACCTGCAGGGAATTCAAATCTCAATATAGTCATTAGAATTAAATACATGTTGATAAATAACAACAGGGAAGTAACATCAGTTTATTATTTTACAGCAGGTCTTTGAAGCCACTCAGACTGCCTTTTCTTGTTTTGAAGTCTGGCTTTAGATGAATGGGCACTGATTTTTTTTTTTTTATTCAGGTTCATAGAGGATAAAGTTTAAAAGCTTTCATATAAACCTTATATTTTCCAAATAAAATCTCAGAAAAGAATGGGGAAACTTAGGGAATGGGTGGTGGCCAGTCTGTGGAAGTCAAAGACAGGGCAAACCAACTTGTCCAGAAGCACTGGGCTTGGGAACTGGAGAGTAATGAAAATGACAGGCTCTCAGAGCTTCTTCCTCATCCTACTGATGAGGAGAAAGAATGGCCAAGAGTGACTGAGAGTAGGGAGGAGCCAGGAAGGCATGGCCATGAAAAGATGAGGAACAAAGGCCTCTATTCAGCTATGATTCTCCTACTACAAAAAACCCACTCCTCAAGGAAAAAATTTGCATAAACTATATCCTGAAGAAAACTTTTAAATAATAATGAAAATAAGCTAATTGGTTAATTTTTTACTCCAGTAACCAGATTAATGTGTGTGTGTTAGTCACTCAATCGTGTCTGACTCTTTGCCACGCCATGCACTGTAGCAAACCAGGCTCCTCTGGCCATGGGATTCTCCAGGCAAGAATACTTGGGTGGGTTGCCATTTCCTTCTCCAGGGGATCTTCCTGACCCAGGGATCAAACCCAGGTCTCCTGCATTGCAGGCAGATTGTTTACTATCTAAGCCACCAAAGAAGATTAATACATATTCTTCCTTAAAAACTTTTGGAAATATGCTATGTGTGTGCTCTCACCCTTCTGTAGGGGATCAAAATATCTTAACCATCAGCCCAGAATGAACATGCCCCCCAGAATGTATGCCTGCTGTTAACACCAGTAAGGCCATCCTGTAGCATGAAGCGGAATAGAAGCCCCAAATATACATACAATTATACAAATAACAGATCTCTCTTTCCTCCTCTGCAAAGTTCCACGTTGGATTCTAGTTCTTTTTCAAGCAGTGAGAGTGACTTGTCATGAAAATTTGAAAGGAAAATCTGAAGTCTGTCTCATGCATGTTGACTTTTTGTCTGAAGATTAAAATAAAAATGGCATAAGAGTTTTTTTCCTTCATTTTCATCATTCTATCTGTCCTCCTCTCTGTTCCCGGGCCCTGAAAACCAGCCACTCCCCCACCAAACTCAGTCCTGCACCCTAAAATCCAAAGCTCCCTTCTCAAAACAGAAACTGGAGAAAATTCCCATGGTTCCTTGGTCTCCCGCCTTCCCACAATCCCTGCCTTCCTGCCATATTTCTCATATCTCTCTCCCACCAGCCAGCACCTCCAGCAATTTTTCACTTCTTTTCTGCCTTCTCCTTCAGACCTAGTTTCAAATTCAACCCTCCACTAAGAAGCTTTTTACATTTTTCACTCCTTTGCCATTCCATTGTCTTATAGGAATTCTTTGGAGAAGAACAGCAATTTTGGATGTTCTGATGCCCATGTCATAAAGCTAAAGCTCCCCACACCATTTTTAAATGGGAATATTTGTTAAATACTTCAAGTCAGTCATTCTCTACCTACTTATGTCATCTCATTTAACCATAACAGTATAGTTACACATTATATCCACTTTTCAAGGAACTAGGAATTAGACAGAATAAGGAAGTTGTAGAGCTCACACAGCTAGTAAGCCATGAGATCAGGTTTTGAACTAGGAGACAGTGACTCCAATCTGTTTTGTTTTGTTTTTTTAATTATTGAAAAATTTTACAGATAGTAATAAAATTATCCAAACTTTTGGAGTCTGGCCTTGATCTGACTGACATTTTTGTAAACTTGCTCAAATGTTTACCATACAAGAAAAGAAGGCTGGGTCACCACTGGACGTCTCCACCAATCTCAAGTGAACAGAGCTCTAAGCAACCCTATGCTTAAGAATGTTAACCAGAATAAATTCTGTCTATTACTACTGAGGGAAAGTAAAACATTAAGTTGATAGTTTCCTGATATATGTTGCCATTTACTTGAATTAATGCTCCATTAGGTATTAGGGGCTATAGAAAGATCAGTGATGATCAGCTGGAGGTTAGCAAAGGAAACAAAACTAACCCTAACCCTAAAAAAAAAGATTAAAAAAAAAAAGAAAACCTTCCACACTGGATGGTGGAAGCATTATCTAAACAACTGAGGGCATTGCTTTCTTTCTTCAGACTTAGAAAAAAAGAGAAAGTATTGACAGCTAGACATACACCCCAAGTAAAGATGGGAGACTTGTTTCTGCTCAGGGTTGGGTGTGGGAATGTGTTGCGATGCAGCGGTCTCGTGCTGGGGTCCAACTGCACTCAGGCAGGTTTGGAGGGCCCCTCTCGACCTCTCTGCCTTGGGAAGGCCTGAGCAGAGACTTATTCTTTAGGGCTGTACTGACTGACTGTGAACTTCATGTAAAACTGTGTTATTTTCAACCTCAGAAATATTTACCAAAAAATCAGGGACCACGACCTCCTGGACAAAAGGAAAACTGTCACAGCACTGAAAGCAGGAGAGGACCGGGCCATTCTCCTGGGACTGGCCATGATGGTGTGCTCCATTATGATGTACTTTCTGCTGGGGATCACACTCCTGCGCTCATACATGCAGAGGTAACACCCCTGGGTGCTTGGGATGCTGTCTTTCATCTTCCTTCTCCATCCTCCCACACAGCTTAGCAATTCCGAGGTCCTCTTTTTTACCGTCTTTGCTATGAAGCACTTAGAGCAGTGCCTGGCACATACTACTGTCAATGATGTTATCTAATAATGATGATAAAAATAGCTCTATGTGTAAACCACGTACTATGTGCCAGGGACTTGCTGTACATTACTTTTTTAATTTTCACAACTGTTCTATAAGGTAAGTATATATATTCTCATAAAATTAGCAACATTGAGGTTCAAGAAAGATCTAATATGCAGTGTCATTATTGTTGTTGTTCAGTCACTAAGTCATGTCCAGTTCTTGCAACCCCATGGACTGGAGCCCGCCAGGTTCCTCTGTCCATGGGATTTCTCAGGCTAGAATACTGGAGTGGATGGTCCTTTCCTTCTCCAGAGGATAGTCCTGACCCAGAGATCAAACCTGTGTCTCTAGCATTAGCAGGCGGATTCTTTACTTGTGAGCCAGCTTTAGTATTTGGCAGGAAGAGCCAAGATTCAAACCTATATCCTGTTAATTTCAGAATCCCTGCTCTTGGCTCTTAACACCTCTGTCCATTCTCCACCTGCGTTCCTTTTCCTCCACAGCCCTCTCTTCCGTAACCCTCACACTAGCAGTTCTCAGCTGCACATTTCAACTTCCTGAAAATCTTTTAAAAATACTGACACCCAGGGCCCACCACCATCATTCCATAACGTCAGATTTAATTGGTCTGGAGTGGAACCCAGTCACCTGTAACTTTTAAAGTTCCCCAGCTGATTCTAACAGGCTGAAAAACACTGCTATGCACTTTTTAAAAATTAATTATTTAGTTTTGATTGGAGGATAGTTGCTTTACAGTATTGTGTTGGTTTCTGCCACATATTATCATGAGTCAGTCATAGGTATACGTACGTTTCCTCCCTCTTAAATCTCCCTCCTACCTCCTACCCCACCCCACCCCTCTATATTATCACAAGGAGCTCAAATCTGGTGCTCTTTGCACTTTCTAAAATAACAGGTTTTGAACTTTTCTTATTTAAGTATTTGCCCTGGGTTTACCACATAGATACAGAAACAAACACTGAGTTGGCAAGTGTGTTCCCCTTTAGTAAGTCACGACACTCCCCAGCGTTCCTAGCTGTTGTCCATATTGGACTCTGAGCATGGGAAAGCCCAGCATTGCTTTCACTAATCAATGAAGTCTCATGATGCTTCAGTTTAAAGAAATGAGGCCCTTTCAAATGAAAAACTGAGGTTTCAATCCAAAAGAGAATCAAACCATTTTGTGGCATTCATTTCCCCACTTAAATTAATACTTTCATTTTAGAAGCAAAATCTAGTTGAAACACAGTAATTTGCTAAAATTAAGGCATCATCTTTCCCACTTATGGCCGCTCTACTCTGCCTCCCCGATGCTTTCTACTCCTCAGTGAAAGCGCGGATGCCTCAGGCCGCAGAGTCCACTGATTCCGAAACCACTTTCCAATTCTTACAAATGCTTAGCATCATCTAAGACTTTTTTTTCTTCCTTGTATAAGCAAAATCTGACCACTCAAGCCCCCAAAAAATTTATCACACCAGAGGGAGTCAGGGCTTGAATCCTGGCTCTGTACAAAATTGGACATGAAAAGGGGGGCCCTATTAACACACATCCAGCAAAAGAAGAGCTATTAATCTGCAAAGAAATGTGCCATTTTCTAATCACTCTGGTAATCAGTTTATATCCAGAAGTGAAACATCAACTCTGGGTACAATACTTCCTAATCACAAATATTACTCTTGATCATAAAATTATACATATTTTATAATGAAAAGTTGACCAACGGGCAGCTCGAGGGGTTTTCTTTGTTTGTTTGTTTAATCTTTCTAACTGAGAGGTCTCAGGACATGGATAGGAATCTGTTAATCTCATATAATAGCCTCTTTTCCATTGTGGGGAAGCAGTGCAGTACCCCACAATGAGTCTGGGCTTTAGAGAAATACAAGACTGGGTGGAGTCACAATTTCCACCACCTACTAGCTGTGTGTCTTTGCATGCATTTGACTTCTCTGACCGTCAATTCACTCACCTTTAAAAGAATTTTATATCCAACATATAAAACAAAAAAAGACAATGTATGTAAAGTATCAATTAGGATGAAAAGGGTACAATAACTGATGGCTCTTGGTATAATCAAAAGATGAAGTTATCTTTTCTCCATTTTTAGGAAGACCTTAAAGAAATGCATCATTGTCCTTTCACCTATCACACCAGACCTTAAGCCCCTCCACTCTTTCATCATCTCTCCTCCCCTTCTCTGCCTGCAAAGTAGGCAGACATTGTGAGGTGAGGACCAAGGCATGACAGGAAGCAGGTTACAACATAGAAATGCAGGGTGGATACAGGCTCTGATATAAAAAGATGCTGCCTTACCCTTACTGGTGAATTTTATAAGGAAAAAAAATCTAATTTAAATCAAGCATTGGAAAAGATGATACTATATTTGATAGAAATCATTGGAAAAGTTCTCAGATGCCAGGCAAAGTTTATCTTATGTTTATATAGCTTGTGGCTCAGCTGGTAAAGAATCTGCCTGCAATGTGGGAGACCTGGGTTCAATCCCTGGGTTGGGAAGGTCCCCTGGAGAAGGAAAAGGCTACCCACTCCAGATTCTGACCTGGACAATTCTATGGACTGTATAGTCCATCGGGTCGCAAAGAGTTGGACATGACTGAGCAACTTTCACTTTGACAAAGCTGCTCTATGCAAAGGCATACACGTTACAAGTAGGTTGTATTACAAACTTGGAAGATTCTTCAGGTCAAGGAACTGACAAATGATCTCCTCTGCTTCCAGCTTCTGTGTCCTTGGCATCTGTGCTTACTCTTCTCCTCTCTATGTAGTGTATGGACCGAGGAGGCTCAGTGCACCTTGCTGAATGCGTCCATCACAGAAACATTTAACTGCTCCTTCAGCTGTGGTCCGGACTGCTGGAAACTCTCTCAGTACCCCTGCCTACAGGTGTATGTTAACCTGACTTCTTCCGGTGAAAAGCTCCTTCTCTACCACACAGAAGAGACAATAAAAATCAATCAAAAGGTAGGAGCTTGGCACACACTGCATCTCATTCGCCCTCATGTAGCTCCACACCAATCCATCTCTGTCTGTAGTTCCTCTGTGCCAGCATTTCAAAGCAAACATGCCACTACAAAGTAGACCCTGCCTCATGCAGTCACAGAGTTCATTGCACTTCTTGACTTTTGCTTGAGAAACATTTATTTTCTGTGCAAGTCGTGGTCAAATCAGTCCCCATTTTGTAGCACTTAAGATTTAGCCTTTACTTCCATTTAGAGGGGTAAATATCATATCCTTATTGATACACAAATATATTAAATTTTTCAAAGCAAATGTGCAGCTTAATCTGAGTTATATAAGCAAAAAAAAAAACCAACAGGTATTTGTCATATACCTGGGAACCATGGGGTTAAACTGTATTTTGCCTTTCCAAGGTCATTGTCACTTAGTTCTATGGTCTTGGAGATATAACTTAACCTCTCTGAGCCCCAGTATCTTCTTCTCTAAAAAGGTAATAACAATGATCATCTTGCAAGGTCATTGTGAGAATGAGAACAGAGTACAGAGTGTGCCCAGCAAAGCTCAGGCAAGACCTTCAACCCATGGTCACAGTATGTGTGCCTGTGCCTATTTCTTCATAAACGTTAGGTTCATCATGGCTGAATTTTCCAGCACTAATATATTCAAGTGCACCTGTTAAATGTTTAGTATCACTGTATTAAAGCTGCAAATAAAATTTGCATTTAAAAGGTCTGGGATAACCAATAAAGTGTCAGCAGAATCAACCTGCCATTATGAATTTTAAGTTAAATACATTGCATTTTCAATTTATGGCAGCAATTTAGATGGCCAGAGGACTTTCATATGCCAAGACAACCTGACGCCATTCTCTAATAGGACAATTGGCCCGTGTCACCAGGATACCACTCTCACGACTCTAGTCTTTCTTGTAAAAACTCTACAATTATCAGCAGTTAAATGATACAGATTATATGTCTTGAAAAAAACTCAATAGCTGTGGAGCTTGATACTAGAACATAGGATTTGCTTTCTGATATATTAACACAAATAAGGAAACCCCTGCCTTTTGGTTACATTAAATTAACTTAATATCTCTGCAAGAAGTTGCAAGAATTAAAATATTCTTGCAAATATCTCTGAAGACACAAGGTCTGCTCTGATTTCCTTTCATTTGTGGAAAAGAACACACAAACAATACCAATCTTAATCCTATTCTACAAATATACATAGCTAGTTCTCCCACAAAATGTGTGGTTTTCAAGATCCCTCAAGTCAAGTTTTTAAATCAAAACTGACCTGTAATTATGGATACTTATAAAACTCTCAAATCTCCAAGAAATTGAAAATTGGCCAAAATTGAATAGACATGAAAAACTGAGACATATTTCCATTTTCTTGTCTTGATGTTTTATTAGTACAGCCCTGTGAATGCAGTATGTAAGCTATAAACTGGGAATGAAACTTATAGAAAATCTCCGTTAAGATTTTAGAACCAGTATTTTGTCTGCTGTCAGCATGATACTAGGTCATTGTTTAGTTTATTTACCTTGTTTTTAACTGTGAGACATGCAAAAAATGAAAAAGTGCAGCTTAAGCACCTAAAGAGATCCTTTACATAATTACTATGAAAGCAAAGAAATAAAACATGCCCTGCACTGCAGGAAATCAGAACCTTGAAGTTCTGATGACTAATGCTATCAAGTAGCTTTTCATTCATTTATTGGCATTTTGAATATCTTTTTTTGTATAGTGTCTGTTCAAGTCTTTTGTTTTCTATTGAATTGACTCCATTGGACTGTTTCTTCTTAGTATTTATTATAGGAATTCTTTAAATTTAGATGCAAACCTTCCTTGATTGTTGTGTTGCAAATATCTTCTCTGGATGTGAAATGTCATCTTTTCACTCTCTTAATGATGTATTTGAATGAAAGAAGTTTCTAGTTTTAGTGCAACCAAATCTTGTCCTTGTCAATATTTATTTTTCTTTTCTTTTTTCCTTTCTTTCTTCTTTCTCTTTCTCTTTCTTTCTTTCTTCAATTGTTTGACTGTCCTGCTGTCTCTTTAAAAAGTCTTTACCTATCCAGAAGTCATGAAGCCAGTTCTCCCAAATTATCTTCTAGAAATGTTATTTTTTTTTTTCTTTCACATTTTGAGTACAATCTGCCTGGAATTGATTTTCATGCAAGAGTCAAGTTTCTAGATTTTCTTTTTATTCATATGGACAATCATTTGCCCAAGTCCATTTATGAAAAGACCACCCTTTCCTCACTGGATTATTTTTGTGATTCCATTTTCCCCTCTATTTCTTAGAAGTTATCTGTTCTGTTACTGTTCTTTTAGTGTTTAACTAGTCATTACAACTTGAAATATTGACTAATCAAGGATATTAAAACATTTTATCTTCATTTGTTCTCTTCTCAGGTTACATATTATCATTTTTATTCTACATGTACTTTAAGCCCATGTAGACATTATATTGCTTTTGTGTATAGTAGTTATTTATTTAGATGTGTCCCCATCATTTTCCATCTCCTTATTCTTCATTCCTTCTTTTGTCTTTGGTCTTCTATCTGGATCATTTTTTTCTACTTCCTGAAGAACATTCTTTAATATTTAGTACAATATCTTCTCTAAAGAAATCTCTGAAAGTATTCATTTGTCTGAAAATATTTTCTTTTCATTCTCAAAGTATCTACTCATTGAGCATATAATTCTAAGTTGGCTGTTTTTTTTTTGTTTCTGTACATTGAAAACACTCCATTGTCTTCTGGTAAGAATTATAACTATTTGGAAATCAGCTCTCAGTCTAATTGCTACTTCTTTGAAGGTAATCTTGGTCTGCTTTAAAGATTATTTTCTTTAATTCTTCACAGTTGAACTACTATTATGTGCCAAAGTGAACATTTATTTCTAGCTTGCCTGCTTAGTGTTCCAAGGGCCTCTCCTGCTATTCCTTGAGGTTCTTTGACAATTTTAGGGGGTCTTCAGTCATTATTTCATCAAATATTTCCTCTGCTCTCATTCTTTCCTGCTTCTCCTTTTTAGATTCCAATGGACCATGTTAGGCATTCTCATTGTATCCCCTGTATATCCCCCTCTTTAGTATTTTCCCTCCTTTTGTCTCTCTGTGCTTCTTGCTAGATATTGACCTAACTTCTGATTTGCAATTCTTTCCTCAGCTCTGACAAATCTGTCATTAAACCCATAATCCATTGAGCTCTTAATTCCTTTTACTGTATTTTTCATTTCTAGAATACCCATTCCAATCTTATTTTATACTTTCTAGTTTTCTGCAATATTCTAATTTTTGTCTTTTAAATTCTTCAACATAAAAAGTAAAATTGTAGTTATTTTAACGTTTATTTTGATGACTTCAAAAAATCTGAAGAGCCTATGGGCCTCTTCTATTTTTTGTTTCTTGACTGTTTTCACGCTGCATTGTAATGTCTGGCTATTTTTTATTAGATGTCAGACATCATATCTAGAAAAATAGTTATAAAAACAATTTTAAGCCTAGTTTGATGTCACGATGTCATCTTTTCCAAAACTTATTTCCATTTGCTTCTGCAAGGCCCCTAGGTACAAATCATGATCACCTCATTCTGACTACATAAACTGAAGTTTGAGCTGAAGTCCCTGTGAGGACCTATCTTCTTCAGGTTGACCATCACTCCTAGGATGCAGCCTTGAAGTGTCCTTACCCAAAGTGAATATGGGCCCATGTTTGATAGGCTGTAATGATAATTCCTGCCCCTAACTCTACAAGGCTATCAAAAATTCCATCCAGCCTTCTGGGATCTCAGCCCCTTTTAGAATCAACAGACACTCCAAGGGGAAAGGTAACACCAAACAGGAGGCTCACCTTCTTGGCCCAGTGATTCTTCACTCTTTGGTTAGCTGTCCTCTGCCTTTAATTAGAAGCATAGTACATGCATTGAAAATACAGTTATTACCATGTTAAAAGGTCACTAAACCATGATCTTAAGGTAGCATGAGAAACATACAAAATATTCCTGGGGAGAAAATTAAAATATTCTCTATCTTCACCTCTCCTTCCTATAACTATTCCCCAAGCTCACCAAAAATAGTAACCTTTCCTGTAGTTACCAACAAATGGGCATGGTTTTACTGATACATAAGGCACACTACTGAACATGTTTGATTTGAGACAACAGGAGGCAAAAAGATGTCAGTCAAGCTTTCTTCTTCTTTATAGAATGAGATTCAAAAGGATTTTATTTTTAAATTTTCACACTCTCTCATATATTCTTTCTCTTTAGCTTTTAAACCCAGTGACCAACCTCTTGTCACTAGTACAACTGAAGCTGCTTAAGCTGATAAGCTGGCATGCTCTGGTGGAGCAACTGACTGACTAACAATCTCTAGGAGCTGCAAGTAGGTTCAAGGGCCCCTACCTCTCCTGGCAACAAGGTTGTCACTGGGATCATAAACAGTGGCTGAGTATTGATTCACTGTGGTCGTTAAACTTCTCAGTGCTGATCTCCTTTAAGAGGTTAAAACTTTGTTTACGTTACCAGGGATCCCCCAAAGTCCCCATCTGGTTTAAGAGAATATTTCAAATGAATTTTTGTACAAAACAAGAAAATATATCCATTTTTGATATGTAGTATAATACTATATGGGCTTCCCAGGTGGCACTAGTGGTAAAGAATCCACCTGCCAATGCAGGAGACGTTAAGAGATGGGGATTCTATCCCTGGGTCAGGAAGATCCCATGGAGAAGGAAATGGCAACCCACTCCAGTATTCTTGCCTGGGAAATCCCATGGACAGAGGGGCCTGGCCTGGAGGGCTACTTTAGGGTCCATAGGGTCGCAAAGAGTCAGACATGACAGAAGCAACTTAGCACACACACAAGCACAATACCATATTTTATACATATATATATATGTATATAATATAATTATAATAAGGAAGCCAGCTATTCTGAGTGGAGAATAACTTGTATGAATTAGCCAATTATTTAAAGCTCCAAACTCAACA